ATATATATATATATATATATATATATATATATATATATATATATATATATATATATATATATATAACAGTATAAATTGTATATATAATACACTCACGCGCGCAAAATACAATATATATCTTAAGATGTATATATAGTATAGTATAGTATAGTTTATTATACTATATATACAATTTATACTGTTAAATATATATAACTATACTATACATAATATATATATATATATATATATATATATATATATATATATATATATATATATCAAAATAAGTATTAAATATTTTTTATTTAAAAGATATTTATTATTTACACACACACAAATATTATTAAATTTATATTTTAATTATTTTAAAATCGTGTTTCCGACCGAACTCGGTTGGAAATATTTAATTATAAGCTATATTAAATTTTTGTCTTGGGCGGGACATATTAATTTCAAACTTTCTGAAATTGGAAAAATTTTAATAAAAAATTATTTTTATACAGTATATACAAGTATGACCAGGTGTTGCTCAAATATTTGACCGATTTCCAACTGAAATCGATCGAAATTTTTAATTTTTTGTCGTGGGACCACTATTTCCGTTGTCAGAAATTTTTTTATTGACTTTAACGACCAAATACTTAATTTCCAACCGATTTCGGTGGGTATTTTTTTCGACCGATTTCGGTCGGTATTTTTCCGACCGATTTTGGTCGGTGTGCCTTGGACAAAAAATGCCAGTTGTCTAGTACTGTGGATGGGAAACGAAATTAAACAAATTATGGGTGTGTTCGGTACGAGGAAAATGTTTTCCTTTAAAATATTATCCTCAAAAAATGAGTTTAAAAAATTAAAAAATATTTTCAGAAAATGTGTTTCATCATACCAAACACACCCTATATCTACTCTACTCTTCCTTCAACCCTAATATAATGCCTTACAACCTACTCTGAGGTAATTTATTTTGATGAGTTTTGTAATGAATCTCATGTAATAGTGAAATTTAAATGAGAATGAATGGCGGAAGTCAATGGGGAATTTTATTAGCTCAACTAATGTATTTACAATATTCTGAATGAGTAACTACAAGCTATTACAAAGGTCTTCAATGGAGTCCTGCAGAAAGAAGAGAATTGGGGTTAGAAGATAGAGAGAGAAGAGAGAGGATCGAGAGAGAAGAAAAATGAAGAGAGAGAGAATTAGTTGAGTACCAGTAATTGTCTAACTCATTCTGTTGAGAATCTGTTATTAGTAATTGTCTCTAGAATATTCTTCATTAGATCTCCACCCTTAGATCTTATTAGGACTTGTAATCTGAGCGACACATCTTAAGTGATTTTGGACGCCCCTGATGCTGCCACGTCATTCTCTTATTCTTTCATCTTTAACCCTACTACTTATTCATTTCATTCCCTTTTCTTCTTTCAGCCGACAACCTTAGTTTATAACAATACCCCGCCGATGAAGAAAGACCTTGTCCTCAATGTTTGAGTGAAGCCACAAAATCAGGAAATCGACTCTTAATATAGCCCCAATCTTCCCATGTTATCTCTTCTTCCCCTAGATTTGTCCATTGCACCAGCACTTTAACCCCCACTGTGTTATTGACCTTAACCATGTGCCGCTGCAAAATTGCTAATGGCTGGACCAACACCTGGACTTCTTCATCACAAATCGGCGACTGTTGCTGTGGAGAGATCATTGGACCAACATGTTTCTTGAGTTGTGACACATGGAAGATTGGATGGATTTGAGACCCAGATGGAAGCTCAAGTCGGTAAGCCACTGCTCCTATCTTTTCTGTAATTTTATACGGACCATAGTACTTAGCACTTAGCTTCAATTTCCTTCGCACTACTACTGAGGTTTTCCTGTACGGATAGAGCTTTAGATAGACTAAATCTCCAACCTCTAAATTTCTGTCTGACCTGCGTTTGTCAGCATAGAATTTCATGCGAGCTTGGGCTTGATTCAAATTTTCCTTCAAATTATGTAACATTTGTTGTCTCTAAGCTATAAGCGATCCTGCTTCTGTATGTTTAGAATATGGTAGGGATCCCAAAGGAACCTGTGTAGGTGGGAACCTATATAGGGCTTGAAAAGGGGTAGTCTTTAGTGAACTGTGGTAATTGGTGTTATACCACCACTCTGCTAATGGCAGCCACTTCATCCACTGCTTAGGATTAGTAAATACCATAGATCTCAAATAAGATTCCAAGCATCTGTTGAGCCTCTCCGTTTGGCCATCAGACTGGGGATGATAGGAGGTAGACATATTCAGCTTAGTTCCCATAGTTTTGAAGAGATGTTGCCAAAATTGACTAGTGAAAATGGTATCTCTGTCTGTTACAATAGTCCTAGGTAATCCATGCAACTTGTAGATATCCTTTAGGAAGGTCTCAGCTACATCTTGTGCTGTATAAGGATGTTTAAGGGCCATAAAATGGCCATACTTAGTCAGTCGATCCAACCAATATAACTTCCATACAACCAGACTTAGGAAGTCCTTCAATGAAGTCCATGGCTATGTCCTGCCATGGCATTTTTGGAATAGGTAAAGGTTGTAATAGGCCTGGAGAAAGCACATTTTCTGTTTTCATTCTTTGACAAATTTCACATTCTGAAACCTTCTTTATCACCTCAGCCTTCATGTTGGGCCAATAGAATACTCCTTTAATCCTTCTGTAAGTCCCCATCTGTCCAGCATGAACACCCAATGGTGACTGATGTAATACCTCAAAAATCTTATTTCTGAGGTGAGTTCCTTTTCCTACATATATCCTATTCTTGTACCTTATAATTCCCTGCTGTAAGGTGTAGTGTGGCTTGCTGCCAGGAACTGTTG